GTGATATCGCAGCACAACCCACGAGGGGACTCTTTGTATCGAAGTCGCATGGGTCCGCCAAGCATCCGCGAATATACAATGTTAATGCATAATTATGTAGGAATAAAGAAGATAACAGCAAGGTTTCTAAAACGACTTGGCCAGGTCTCCATGGAGTTGCTGAAAATGTCCACTGAGTCATTTTTCATCACAGTTTTATTGTAAATTCAAAACCTAAAACCCTACTAAACCCTTTAAATCCAGGAATCACACAGTTGATCAAAAATAAATCAGTGGCGCTACAACCTCTTTAGGTCTTGGCCTGAGATTTTTGTATCAGTTTCATGATTTCATTTTTCAATCTGATAGGCAAGGATCAACCTTCTGTACCTGACATACGCCGTCTACTTTTCGGGTCTAAGACATGTCGGTTTGCTCACGATGTTTTCCTTCACCGTTCGAGCAAATGTTAAATGCGCACATAGAAAGAATGTACATTGGTGCACAGCTGGGTATCGAACCTACGACCTCAGGTATGAGAGTCGCACGCTGAAGCCACTAGGCCAACACTGCTCTACAGTTGACCAAAACCGTATAAAATTGCGTCAGGAAGTTTTGGAGTCTATCGCGTACATAGACAGACAAACGCAGCCGGGATAATTCTTATTTGGGTTATTTGTCCATAGTATGATCGACTTACATTGGTAGAATGAAAGAAAAACATTAACATAGTTAAAAAGGACCTCAAAAGAGAAAGTGCAGGAGCCCACTAGGATTCCCTCTGTCGTGGGCAAATAGTCTCTTCCATTTGTTCCCACGAGAATGTAAGTGCATGCTCCTATTTCACCTGCTGATAGAGGACAAATCTTTGTTTTTAATTTATTTAAATATAATTTATTACTTAAGATGTCATGTGGAACATGGAGTAATGGTTGCCATACGAACATTGTGTAAAAACAAAAACTTGGCGATTAATAGTGGCGGAGATTTATTGCCAGTTCTGTTCTACGCCCTTGATTTGAGAACTGGCAGTAAATTTAAAATTAGAAGCATTTAATGTATATTTCTTCTGTAAAGTTCATAAGTGTACATTGTGTTACCTATATAAATAAATTATTTTTGCTGATTGATTTGACATTTAATAATTTTAATTAATTCTACATACAATTACAATTTTCAAATTAAACTACTGTTGCACATGAAGTTATAGTGTTGAGTTGAGCAAAAGATAGGTGTTTTTAATACAAAGGACCCCTTCTTTTATATATAACAATACGTCTCTGTCACGAGTTCGTGAAATTTTCTCATCGGTGACATAAATAGGCCTCCACGCAGTCCTGATTTAACCCCTATGGATTTTTTCTTATGAGGTAATCTTGAATCTCAAGTCTACACCAAGAAGCCGACTTCACCGGCGCAATTGAAAGAAAATATCCGTCACGAAATGGCAGCCATCACTAAGTCCACCTGCCGAGCCGTCATAAGTAATTCTATTGTTCGATTAAATGAGTGCCGCGAACGCGAGGATCTACATTTGGACGGTATTATTTTTAAGAAATCTATTCCAAAATGTGTTCTTTAATAATGAATAAACACACATTTAGTGGGTGCGTTGCTGGCGTTTAAACTACCACTTAGTAGCCAATCAGGCACGCATTATTATATTGCCTTATATATTATTCATTATACCGCTATTGTTCATTAATTTTATGAACACAGCACAACACATACATTGAGTCGGCGGGTTTTTTTTTTTTGTATTTAAAGTCAAACCATTTATTTCAATTAGGCCCATTAAAAAGGCACTTTTGAAAGTCAAAATAACAAGTTAAAAATATTTAAAAAAATGTTTAGTTGCCCCTTCTAAAAGGAAGTTTCATATAGAGAAGAATGGACAAGAAACTCTGTACTTACTATTTTAAAATAATTTTTACAGTACTTTGTATACATTTGAAAATTTTGTGTAAACCATGTACATAGAACAAAAAAGAACACTATGCTAAAATAAAACAGGCGCATGGTGTTATAAAATACAATGCAGCAACTATATTATTATGTAGATACATGGTGCTCACATATTTACACAATTATTGAAAGGTCTATTAACATTATGAGTTTTAACGACAGTTAAAACCAAACAAAATTTTTATTCTGAATGATAAAAGTTTTTATCTCAATGTGTAATACAACTATCGCCATCTAGTGGCACCATTATAAAGCAGAACAACTTCTGAAGTTAAAATTCGAATTGCTGAAATTTTGCCAAAGTAAACATTGGTTTCACACTCATCAACTAGATGGCGTTGGCTTTCAATTGTTTGATAGTCTACTTTTAGTCTAACACTACCTTAGTCAAACATGATGTTTGCTTAGACTCCAATGTCTATGTTTACTGCCGACAGAGGCTATAAATAAAATGTATGTTATTTTTAATACTATGATTAATTGCTGCTTCCCTGAATATGATGGTTTTTCTTACGTAATAGGAGGCAAACGGGCAGGAGGCCCATTTGATGATATGTGACACCGCCGCCCATGGACACTCACAATTTCAGTCTCGCAAGTGCGTTGCCTGCTTTTTAAGAATTGGTACGCTCTTTTCGTGAAGGTCCCTAAGTCGAAATTGGTTCGGAAAACTTCGGTGAGCAGCTGGTGCCACATAGTGGTGGTGTGCTAAAACTGCCTTAACAAAACGCTCAGTTGTGGAACGACAAAAACGGCGACGGCTTTTGTCGCCTCAGTAAGGTGCATTTAACGCCTCAGTAAACCTCAATGCAAGTTGTAATGCGCGCATCGGGATAAAATCCCAAAATTTGAGAAATTTATAACTTTTACGCTAACTGAGTCTAATAAAACGTGGACTACATGATTAAATGTATTGATGTTTTAATATAGTTTAAAAAAAATATCAGTGGCGCTACAACCTCTTTTAGGTCTTGGCTTCAGAATCTGTTTCATGATCAATTTTACAAATCTAATAGGCAAGTAGGTGATCAGCCTCCAGTGCCTGATACACACCGTCGACTTCTTGAGTCTAAGACACGTCGGATTCCTCACGTTTTCCTTCACCGTACTTGCGAGCCCACTGGAATTGAGAGTCTATGAGCAATGGTATCACTTAACACCAGATGAGCCTCCTGCCCGTTTGCCCCCCACTCTTTTTTTTCTATCTTTTTAATCTTAAATTAGCAGCTGGCAGCTTCTTCTTCTTCTTTTGTTGCCTCTCCATTACTGGAGGTTGGCCGTCAGTCACGTGAAGCGTCTTGTTCTGTGCCTGAATTAACTCTTCCACCAATCCCCCAACGTTACGAAGCCATGATGTTTTCCTTCTACCAATGCGCCCCTACCCTGGATTTACTTACCCCCCTTTCCGTTTTTGGATGTTCTGCATAACTTTTTTCGACATTCCAACTCTATTAAGAACTTTCTCGTTAAAGACCTTCTTGGTCCAGTCTATACGAAGCATGTGATGATGACACTACATCTCAAATCCTTCTGAAGCGCCGGAGTGTTACTTCTTTTATTGTCCAAGTTTCACAGCCGTACAGAATATATTTTTATATTTTTTAAATATATTTATTTATAAAAACACTACTGCCCTAACAGGCGACCCAAAATTGACACAATAAGTGAATAAATTCTACAGACGAAACAAAAAAAACAAACTTACGAATTTAATTAGAAAAAAGAAAATTATATAATAAAAAAATACAAGAAATTTAATAACTGCTAGGCAGTAACAAATAATAGAACTTTTGCCAGTTCACTCAACAGACTATGAAAAAGGTCCGTTAACCTATGTAATTCGTTAACTAAATTAATACACCGAATCATATGAGCCCTTTTCAGAAGGTCAGTCCTAGCTGTGGGCACATGAAGTAATGGCGGACGATGTCGCTTTCTGACGTACGTAAATTAAATTATGAATAACAGGTTCTTTTTCTTAAGTCGCACTTTTCATTTCTGAAGGTAGTGTTAGTGGCACCGCACTTCCTCCACTCTGCCCTGTCTTCGGCAAGCCTCTGCGCCTGGTAAGACCTGTAAGAATATTTACTTGATCCTATCTTGGCCTCGGCTGGATCGGCATGGAGGTCTGGTGCCCTCCATTCTGCCAGTCACGATGAGATTTTCTAGACTTTCTGGGTCTTACATGTCCAAAAATGTAACACGCAGAGATGGATGCGTTGGTAACGTAGGGTTGAAAGACGATTACACCGTCTTAGTATAGTAATAACAGCTTATTAAGACATAAATCTGAATAGATTGTAGCTATGTGTAGTTTAAATTTTAAAGTTGTTATATCTATTTATTAAATGATATATTTTACTGAGCTAAATATAAAGCAAACGACAATTTTAATTAGCCCACTGTTGCTATTGTCTTCCTAAATTTAATCGGAATTTGGTTTTCGTCCAAGGAATTTCATGCTCTGAGTTATTGTGATAGAATTTTAACATCAACCTCCAAGAAAATTAAGAAAATAGTCGTCGATTTACACTTAAAGAAACACAGTTTTCTATCAAACTCAGTTTAAATTTAAATTATATAATTACACAAGATGTAACATTAACTAATAAATAACATTATGAAATTCTTGGCTTACATCACATCTCATATTCGAAACCTATCGGATCTAATAAACGAAAATTGTCCAAGGAAGTTGGCTGAAGATCTAAAACGTGTAGACGACTCGAATTATTTATGGCATCTTTACGCCAAGGGCTAGCCCTGACTAGTTGTAACGACAGGTGAGGAAAGTTGTCACCATAGGTCAAGGAAAGGGGATGGGGGGCGGGCGACGCGCGCCGGCCGCTGCGTGGGCGCACATTTGTTTACGCTGCTCGCAGTGCGCGCCGAGCACCGCGCGAGACCACCCTATATTCAGTTCACGGCCGCTCTATTACCGGACGTCTATTCCGGGCATAATATTCTGTAGTGCTGTGGAACGCTCAGTTTCGGGCGGGCAGGTGCGCGCGCCGAGGAGACATGCGGCGCATGGACCACGCGCGCTGACCGCCGGCATGGAGCGCCGTCCCGCGCGCATCGACGCCGACTTCATGGCCAAGACCGTGCGACGCCGCGAGAAGCCGCGCGAACGATGGCTCCTCACGCGCAAGACGTGGAAGTACATGGCCGATGCCGGCCGCCGGCTCATCCCCGAAGGAGCCCAGAACAGGCAGGAGGACATCCCGCGAATAGAGGCCTACTTCCAAGAGATGTGTCAGAAAGAGCCGAGGTTCTTGTTGTGGAGGAAGAGCTCATACCCTGGAGTTGTAGCTCGACCTCGACGTAAGAAACGTCCCCGGGGTGGATCTGTGCGAGCGAGGTCACCGTCTGACGATGTGCCGGCCCCCATTAGGCCAACAGAGCTTTTTATTCCACACACATCAGGTGGCCGGTTTGATATCGCCAAATTAAGGCGGGATTTCTTCGCTGCGCCTTCGCCCTCAACAAGCTTTACTCCGTCCAATGGGGCATTTAATGCCAATACAAAGAAAGCTAGTCCACAAGTTGCACCTAGAGACAATGATGAAGGAGTTCTAGTAGATTTATTACAAAAGTACCTGAGATTAGAGGAGGAGAAAAGTCCGACTCCAAGGAATGAACACGAAGAGCTGGTAAGAGCGCTGCGAAGCTACCTTAAAAGGCAGTCAGAAAGCGCCCCGGCTGACTCAGACATAGATCCCGCCCAAAGAGTTCTCAAAGAACATCTAAGTCGCTATTATAGTCGAGATTCGAACAGTAACCATCAAGATTTGTTAAGCGATAGGAATCTCTTAAGAAACTTGTATCATGATCTTCGTAAAACGAAAACATACAGAGGTGGACGAAGTGGAGGAAGCGGAAGCAGTGGTGGTGGATTTAGTGGTGCGTGCGTGTTCAGTGCATCCAGTTCGCGGAGTCATTTTAGGGGTAGAAATGTGTACGATCCTTACAGTGATGAGGATTATCCACCTCCGATGTCGCCACCACCCCTCATCGAAGTTGTTAGTGAGTCGCAGGAGGAGAGAGCATCTTCTGATATTGGCACGCAAACCGATCCTATACCGGAAGAAGTGTTACAAGATTTAGAAAAAGCTTACCGTGAGAAATTAGAAGCTCCCACATCCCCAACTAGTCCGACTAGCCCTCCGCCTGAGAGGCGACCGCGGCGCCGCTCTAGCGTCGACCACGACGATGTGTCACAATCCGTGAGTGACAAAATAAAACTATACTTGAAAATGGCGCGGAAAAAAAGCGTTGACTCGGATAAAACGGATCGTTTTAAGCGTATTAACTATGATCAAAACCTTCGTAATATAAAACCGCGTGTGCCCAGTGATGTAGATGATGATGGACTGAACAAAGGCGTCCAAACCGACGAAGCGTGGATCCTTACGTATAAGCAGTTACAATTCGCGTCCGTGGCAACTACCCCGACATCTCCATCTCAGTCGCACTCGTTGTTTTCATCGCTTTTGGGTAGAAGTACATCAACGACTTCCGCAGGTGGCATGCAGAAGTCACGGTCTTCCAGCAGCGTGGTACAGACTGTCAGCAAGCGGCTGTGGAGGACGAGGAGTCGGTCTTCCAGCCGTGCCGCCGCTGCCTGGACACCTCAGGTCAGTCGTTATTTGTTTTATTTCGTTTCTTAATCTGCTGTTTCCGAATAAAATATACTGTCAAAGGATCAAATCCAATTAGAAATAGTTTGAATACACTCCTACTAATTAAATTACGATATTACAATCAAGCATCTAGTTTTCACCAGTCTATCGTGAAAAGAGTTGCCAACATACGAAACTAGGCTAGCGTACTTTAAGATGTTGGAGAATCGTAGAAAATTAATTGATACATACTAAATTTTGCTTACCCATTAGATGCCCTCTTTCAAAAGAACGCGTTTTGGCCAAAACTCACCGATAGCTAGGTCTGGATATCCATAGCTTCCCTCACACTTTGAAATCGATTTTCTATCACATTAAATATTCTATTTCATTTTTCTTGTACCAATGTGTGCGCTGATCGTGAGCAAGCTTTTATTAATAAATAAAATACTGTTCGTAAGAATAATTATCAATATTTATTAATATAAAAGTCATAAAGAGGTTTATTCTGTAGTAAATTGTATATCTTGGTAAAGATCATAAATATCGTTAATCGTAACATATAACGCGTGGGGTTTTCCCACTATGAGTGTGGTCGTATTTTACAATACCTTGCTCATAGAGGCTAAGCTTTTTAATAATGATTAAATTTATTCAAACGTGCATTATCTTGCAATACAAAAAGCTTGGTTATTTAAAAGAATTGAGAGTTTATTGCTTGATTTTTAAAAGTGGTAGTAAAAATAAATCTAGAATATTTTCTTTGCGAAGTATACATGTATGAATTAGGTCTGGACCTGAGATTTCTGTATCTTTTTTATGATCATTTGTCAATCTAATAGGCAAGTAGGTGATCTGCCTCCTGTGCCTGACATACACCCGTCGACTTTTTGGGTCTAAGGCAAGTCGATTTCCTCACGATTTTTTCCTTCACCGTTCGAGCGAATGTTAAATGCGCACTTAAAAAGAAAGTCCATTGGGCTCGAATCTACTAATATTGGGTGCTACTCTATTCCCTGAGTTCGGAGATTCGAACCCCGGCTGTGCACCAATGAATGGTCTATGTGCGCATTTAACATTCGCTCGAACGGTAAAGGAAAACATCGTGAGGAAATCGGCCTGCCTTAGACCCAAAAAGTCGACGTCGTGTGTCAGGCACAGGAGGCTGCTCTTGCCTATTAGATTGACAAATTATCATGAAACATATACAGAAATCCGAAGCCCAGACCAAAAAAAGTTGTAGCACCACTGATTTATTTAATTTTTTATAAATGAAAACGTTCGACTGTATTAGTTTTGGCCCGTCATTTAAATTTTAATTCAAAGATTTTTTTAAACATTTTAGATTATGAAACAAATTGGATAAAAGTGATTGTTTACAAGTAAAATAAAAAACTCTAAATGTTGTTCTAATGTGCACACGCGCTAATTAAAGATTTGAGTTGGTGCCTGGTAGATAGTACCGGTGACCGCAGAGCTGGTCAGAGCTTTCCTAGCTCAACGAATAAGTATAATACAGCGAGGAAATGCTGCCAGCGTTAAAGGTACACTGCCAAAGGGCCAATTAAAACAAATATAAAACTAACTTTTATATTTGTTTTAATTTTCTATTTATTAATTTTCAATTATTTATTTTATTTAAATTTGAATTAAATTGCTTTAAATAATATTATTTAAAATAGGTCTCTAATCAGTCATTTATTTTACATCTAAAGAACAATATTATATTCAAATATTTAATTAAAATTTACAAGATCGCTACATTGCATCGTTAGAATACTCTCATATGTGAGGTACATCCTACGGCGTAGCATGGTCGTAGCAGGGCATTTACTACGGAGTCAACTTACTGCTACGATTTGATTAAAGCTCAATTTAAAAGCTACATAGAAATACAATAGAAATAGCTGCAATAAAACATTTACGTATCACAATAAATTGGTATTTACAGTGAGCCTGTGCCGCCGTCCAACGTCCTATAACGATAAAAAAACACAAAAGAGGAATTATAAAATAAAATTATGTAGAAATCAGTATTTCTTTGCTTTAGAATTCAAACCATTGTAATTTGGTATTGTCTTTGTTTGACATAACCTTTACACATTTAAAGAAAAAACTTTTTAACCGGATTAAAGTTATGTATTATTATAAATTTACACAATCCGCGAAAATAGAGGACACCGTGAGCCATTTTTGCCAAAACCCTCCATCTTTTAGTCGATACCAACTCCGGGGAAATAAATACAGATAATGCAACTTTCTCTACAGCTGTGTTAAATAGTTGTAAATTTATAATAATACATAACTTTAATCCGGTTAAAAAGGTTTTTCATTGTAATTTGATAAATCGTTTCCCTTTCATTATATTTATTAATTAATACTTCCTTTTAGTAATAGAGATATACAGTCCAATTAAAATAATTAAATAAAAAGGAGGGCAACTGGCTTTCGAGTGGGGGGGGGGGGGGGGGGGGGGGGGGGGGGGGGGGGGGGGGGGGGGGGGGGGGGGGGGGGGGGGGGGGGGGGGGGGGGGGGGGGGGGGGGGGGGGGGGGGGGGGGGGGGGGGGGGGGGGGGGGGGGGGGGGGGGGGGGGGGGGGGGGGGGGGGGGGGGGGGGGGGGGGGGGGGGGGGGGGGGGGGGGGGGGGGGGGGGGGGGGGGGGGGGGGGGGGGGGGGGGGGGGGGGGGGGGGGGGGGGGGGGGGGGGGGGGGGGGGGGGGGGGGGGGGGGGGGGGGGGGGGGGGGGGGGGGGGGGGGGGGGGGGGGGGGGGGGGGGGGGGGGGGGGGGGGGGGGGGGGGGGGGGGGGGGGGGGGGGGGGGGGGGGGGGGGGGGGGGGGGGGGGGGGGGGGGGGGGGGGGGGGGGGGGGGGGGGGGGGGGGGGGGGGGGGGGGGGGGGGGGGGGGGGGGGGGGGGGGGGGGGGGGGGGGGGGGGGGGGGGGGGGGGGGGGGGGGGGGGGGGGGGGGGGGGGGGGGGGGGGGGGGGGGGGGGGGGGGGGGGGGGGGGGGGGGGGGGGGGGGGGGGGGGGGGGGGGGGGGGGGGGGGGGGGGGGGGGGGGGGGGGGGGGGGGGGGGGGGGGGGGGGGGGGGGGGGGGGGGGGGGGGGGGGGGGGGGGGGGGGGGGGGGGGGGGGGGGGGGGGGGGGGGGGGGGGGGGGGGGGGGGGGGGGGGGGGGGGGGGGGGGGGGGGGGGGGGGGGGGGGGGGGGGGGGGGGGGGGGGGGGGGGGGGGGGGGGGGGGGGGGGGGGGGGGGGGGGGGGGGGGGGGGGGGGGGGGGGGGGGGGGGGGGGGGGGGGGGGGGGGGGGGGGGGGGGGGGGGGGGGGGGGGGGGGGGGGGGGGGGGGGGGGGGGGGGGGGGGGGGGGGGGGGGGGGGGGGGGGGGGGGGGGGGGGGGGGGGGGGGGGGGGGGGGGGGGGGGGGGGGGGGGGGGGGGGGGGGGGGGGGGGGGGGGGGGGGGGGGGGGGGGGGGGGGGGGGGGGGGGGGGGGGGGGGGGGGGGGGGGGGGGGGGGGGGGGGGGGGGGGGGGGGGGGGGGGGGGGGGGGGGGGGGGGGGGGGGGGGGGGGGGGGGGGGGGGGGGGGGGGGGGGGGGGGGGGGGGGGGGGGGGGGGGGGGGGGGGGGGGGGGGGGGGGGGGGGGGGGGGGGGGGGGGGGGGGGGGGGGGGGGGGGGGGGGGGGGGGGGGGGGGGGGGGGGGGGGGGGGGGGGGGGGGGGGGGGGGGGGGGGGGGGGGGGGGGGGGGGGGGGGGGGGGGGGGGGGGGGGGGGGGGGGGGGGGGGGGGGGGGGGGGGGGGGGGGGGGGGGGGGGGGGGGGGGGGGGGGGGGGGGGGGGGGGGGGGGGGGGGGGGGGGGGGGGGGGGGGGGGGGGGGGGGGGGGGGGGGGGGGGGGGGGGGGGGGGGGGGGGGGGGGGGGGGGGGGGGGGGGGGGGGGGGGGGGGGGGGGGGGGGGGGGGGGGGGGGGGGGGGGGGGGGGGGGGGGGGGGGGGGGGGGGGGGGGGGGGGGGGGGGGGGGGGGGGGGGGGGGGGGGGGGGGGGGGGGGGGGGGGGGGGGGGGGGGGGGGGGGGGGGGGGGGGGGGGGGGGGGGGGGGGGGGGGGGGGGGGGGGGGGGGGGGGGGGGGGGGGGGGGGGGGGGGGGGGGGGGGGGGGGGGGGGGGGGGGGGGGGGGGGGGGGGGGGGGGGGGGGGGGGGGGGGGGGGGGGGGGGGGGGGGGGGGGGGGGGGGGGGGGGGGGGGGGGGGGGGGGGGGGGGGGGGGGGGGGGGGGGGGGGGGGGGGGGGGGGGGGGGGGGGGGGGGGGGGGGGGGGGGGGGGGGGGGGGGGGGGGGGGGGGGGGGGGGGGGGGGGGGGGGGGGGGGGGGGGGGGGGGGGGGGGGGGGGGGGGGGGGGGGGGGGGGGGGGGGGGGGGGGGGGGGGGGGGGGGGGGGGGGGGGGGGGGGGGGGGGGGGGGGGGGGGGGGGGGGGGGGGGGGGGGGGGGGGGGGGGGGGGGGGGGGGGGGGGGGGGGGGGGGGGGGGGGGGGGGGGGGGGGGGGGGGGGGGGGGGGGGGGGGGGGGGGGGGGGGGGGGGGGGGGGGGGGGGGGGGGGGGGGGGGGGGGGGGGGGGGGGGGGGGGGGGGGGGGGGGGGGTCGAGTAGTCTCTTCCAGGCTTCACTGTGAAAATGAAAAATTAGATTAGATGAACGCAAGAATTGCAAAGCTACATAAGACATATTGTATTGACTTCGACAAAACTAATGGAACTAAACAATTAAACAGTTGTAAACAGTGAATGGAACAACTTAAAAATACATGAATCAGGGTAATTTCAGATCAGTTAGTACGAAAGTTAGTTGTAAACTGGGAACAGTTAAAAATTTGTCTTTTAAACCTTAGTAGGGCCATTGTTATACATGTATTTTGAAAACAGAATGTTTCTTGTCGCCATCAAATGAATTTAAATAAATATTTTATTACAGAAAATAACCCAATTAATCAGAATTTAAAATAAATGTTTTCTTTTAGGATTTTTGTAACAAATGTTTGCCTCAGTTAAAATTTTGGCAGTAGTGACTTTTAGCGT